GCTGCCCTGCCACTTTGGACTCTTATGCATTTCAAAGCTGGCATGCTGCATGCAGCCTGCTGTCAGCGGGACTTCCCACTGGCCCCAGGCTGCACGTGGAGTTGTGCATTCCTCCTTTGAAATGTACAAGAGCCCCAGTGGAATGCAAAAGTGCCTATCAACTGGTTGAGTAATCAATGGAAATTCCAGCGACTACTTGACTAGTAAAATAACTTTGGACTCTTATGCATTTCAAAGCTGGCATGCTGCATGCAGCCTGCTGTCAGCGGGACTTCCCACTGGCCCCAGGCTGCACGTGGAGTTGTGCATTCCTCCTTTGAAATGTACAAGAGCCCCAGTGGAATGCAAAAGTGCCTATCAACTGGTTGAGTAATCAATGGAAATTCCAGCGACTACTTGACTAGTAAAATAACCGATAGTTAACATCCCTAGTTGTGATACAGTAGATAGTAACACGCTCTTATTAAGCCAATTATAATTATCTGTACTATTATTATTAATAGTAGGCTGATTGTTTTGAAATATTGGGTTAGGCCTTGTTATAGGGTGTCTAACAGAATGATGTGTAACAGAAATTTGGAGTAGTGACATTACAAATAAGGCCTTTCTATATAAATGTCTTGTAACTAGTTACTAGGTAACACTGTCCATTCATGTTACAGGTTACCCTTACTGCTGGTTTTTACCCACTGGGATAAGGTTTGCTGTCCAGGAAGCAAGAATGGCAAGCTTCTCTGTTCCATGGGTTGCAGTGCTCTGTGGTACACCAGTAGCTGACATGGATCCAGTAGTTTCCTATGAATGCTACTTGCCAGATAACCTGCAGAATGAACAGTGACCAAGGTATTAATTATTGCGGTGTCAGGATTTAGTGTTGGTACCCAGGCACTGAACAAAATTGTTTTTAATAACGTGCCTCATTTAGGGTGCAACATCACTGATCCAAATTATGAGTAGTATTGACAGGGAATTTGTTTACACGCACAGACATACACACACGTTGATTTTTACCAGTGTGTTGGTTAAACAGTTTAGCAATGTTATGCGCATTGTAAATGGTGTACAGCAGTAATACAGCAATATTACACTTATGCTGCAATCAACAGTTGGTTTTACACAGTCACGAAGTTTAAATTAACAGTGATTTCTAGCTAATTGCCAACTTAATTGTCCAACTGAAGTGAACAGTGCCTTATTTGTTAAGCACTTCTTTTTTTCTGTTCTTGATGCTTAGTCATATTATCTTCTGGTGTATTTCTGATGTGATATCTTCTTTGGTCTATAGGATGAAACCTTAAACTGCTTAAATTAGTTAACATAATAAAGGTTTTTTGTTTGCTTGTTTACATTTATCTTGTTTTTAGTAATCTAAATTTTAATAAAAACAAATAGTCTTGCAGCACTTTAAAGACTAACAAAATATGTAGATGGTATCATGAGCTTTCGTTTGTTTTTTTCTAGTCACAGACTAACTCAGCTCCCCCTTTGAACCAAATTTAATAAACAAATTAATTTAATTTAGTTTGTTTATAATGTAATAGGGACTAAGTATTTTAAAATACAAGCTAAACTTTTGCAATTGCTGCATAGACATTAATTTTTACTTGAGGTGCTTTATTTATATGTTATACTAAATATAATGCTTAACTGTTGAAATAGATACTTACAGTCTTCCATGAAGATGTATTTCTTTTCCCTGCCTTACACTTTGTTTGAGCAAAAGAGTTAGTAACACAATTTTTACCAAGCTTTTTAGAGTTACTTTGCTTGTGATACTAACTCTACTTTTGTTAACTCTTTAGAAGCACAAATGTTAACAGGTACTACTTTCCTTTAACATAATATAAAATTTAAATCCAAATGAATTTTAAAAACAGGTGTATGTAAATATTTTGAAGGTATTAAACTTTCATGATTCTTTATTGTGTTTGGGAGTCCTAGGTGCAAATCTGTTGAAAAAGTTTGGTTAACTTTATTCATAAATTGTTAAAACATTATTGCTATGCCATTCTTATAACTATATTTAAAAGTGAAAACCAGTTTATAAAAACCCAAAGAAGAAATTGACATTTTGTTAATATTATTTAACAAAATAATTATGTTGAGGTTTCCCCTTACATTTTTTCTTTGAATTAAAAAAGAAAATAAAAATTGTGATTAATAAAAGAAAATTCTTTTTGTTTGCAGTTGCAGAGTCTGCATGTTTGTTGCTTAGCAACCATAACGTCAAGAAAATTAGGAGTAATTCCAGCTGTAGATTCCCAAAGACTTAAAATAATTAATTTACTGCATTTATTTAAAGTACATTTTTACCTTATTTTTTCTTTATTTCTTGTTTTTTTTTAATTTACTTAATCTTTAGGAGGTTTCTATACAAATTATAAATGTTAACACAGAGAAGAAGAGTCAAAGTGAGGAGAGATGGGAAGGGGGCAGAGAGGGATGTACATCAAGTTAGGGAGGTAGCGAGACTTGAGCCAAGAGAAATTAATTCTTAAAGGGACAGGCAGCAGCAGCAAGTTTAGCAAAGTGAGAGACGCTATAAAGGAAAACATACTGGTATGTAAGAATATTTAAGAAAGAAGGATATATTTTTAGCTGAGTGTGGAGTATGCTTCAGTTGGTCAGAACAGTTGAGAACCCGCACCCCAGGTTTTATTTGTGGTGATTTTTATTGTTGATATTTTTAGCAAAGGTACAATCAGAAAGATTACTGACACTTTGCAGATACCAAAAACCTAAATCAAATATTTTTTCTTTACCACAAAAACCTGGCATTGGGAGAAAACAAGTCAATAACCATTTGGATAACATTTGATTTGTTTTAATGTAAATAAAACAAAAGCATCCAAAAAGCATGAAAATGCTGATGACAAACTTCAGAATGTTGACAGATTTTCTCACAAGAAGAAATGTTTTAGAAAAATCGTTTTAAAGGAAAACGTTAAAAAAAATCAACCACTCCATTCAAAGCTGAGCTCATTCTGGACAAAACTGAGTCAATCCTTCTTTCTCCTTCAGGTTTGGCATATTACCTATTAATAAGGGGGTAGTTTAACATCAATTATTTGATTATGTGGACACTTTCTATCAGGAGCTAGATTTGTACAGGCCACCACAGACCTGCTCCTACTGACTTGAACTGGATTTGAACTAGTACAAGTCTCTGGAGTAGGGATGTTATTTACCATTTTAAAAGTTAACTGGTTAAATGCTACCTTAACTTGTTAACCCTGGAGCAGCCCCACGCCCACACTGCGCTGCGAGTGGGGGCTGCTCCAACTAGGCCAGACCACCGGTTACCTGGTAAGGCTCATGCTTTCCAAGTAACTGATTAATCCTTTATAGCCCTGCTCTGGAGACAGTTGTCAGTCCCCAGTCCCTGAACTATTTCCTTGCTGTAACACCCAGCATGCTGGGTTTGCAGGATCTTTCTCAAAATTGAAATCCTAGGAAATGTGGTGCCCTTAACTAGCTTCCTGCTCCCCAGTGCCAGCACTGCTTCTGGGGAGAACATGTCCCTATGCTTCATCATTCTGCAAGTCAGCCACATGAACAGTTTCTATTTGGGTTGCTGCCCCTTATACTCTGCTGCCCTCGTAGGCAACAACCTAGCCAGCCACCTTTGCCTTGAGGCTGCTGTTTCACTCTTCTTGGCACGGGGATAGGGCAGAGGGCCAGGCAGCCTGAGCAGCTGTTTATCTCCCCTATGATCCCTGTCAGCAGCAGGAGGTGAAGAGCAATGACCTGGACGTCACTAACACCACCATCACCTCTTGCATCACTAACCACAATGAAAACATTTCACTGGGGAAGTTCCCAGCAGCAGGAGCAAAAGCGGCAGCCGCTGCCTCATGTGTCTCCCAGTGCAGCATCAGCAGGGGCTTGCACCATGGCGCTCTCCTTGCTGCGCCTCCTTCTCTTGATGCTGTTTGGCGTGTGGTGGCCAGGCCTGGAGCGGCATCGGGTGGGAGCAGCTCAGGTGCGGGAGCACTACATAGCTGCAGAGAGCACCAACTGGAGATACAGACCCTTGTCCAAAGGACAATCCGGGTAAGTGTAGCAGGATGTGGAGGCAACCAGTCCACTTTGGGAATGAGTCTCCTTAAAAGCTTCAGGGGGTAGCCAAGTTAGTCTGTAAAGGATAAACTTAAAAAACAACTAAGGGTCTGGTAGCACTTTATAGACTAACAAAATATGTAGATGGTATCATGAGCTTTCATGGGCACAGCCTGCTTCTTCAGATGACCAGAGTTATGAGTTTAGGCTGTGCAGACCTCACCCCCTTTCATTTTTTCCCCTTCCCTCCTCTTCCTTCTCCCCTATTTATTTTGGGTCTGCCCAGCCTAAACTCAAAACCAGGGTCATCTGAAGAAGTGGGTTTTGCCCATGAAGCTCATGATACCATCTATATGTTCTGTTACTCTATAAAATGCTACCAGACCATTTGTTGTTTTTTAAGTTTCTTCTTAAAAGGTTGAGCATAGTGCATGGATTCAGCCCCCGGAAATCAATCAGAGCCTTTACATTGATTCCATTTGGATTAAGCCATTAATTTAGTTCAGTGTGATTTAGCTAAATTGAGTTTTGACAAAAGCAAGCTTGGACTTGCTCCCGCATCCTCTGTGTCCTCCAAACTCCCACTGGGGTCAACCCTGCATAGTGCTCTGAGCTCTGAGGATTTTTGCATGAGATTTGGTGTTTTTCTCACAGCCTCAGCTCGTACTGTGAGGTGAAAACATCAGACCCTCCACTTTCATTTCAACAATTAAAAAAAAAAGGCTTCTGGTCCTCAGAGTTTTGGAGAAAAGCTCAAAAGCCCATGAGGTAAATAAAAAGAAGCTCAACATTACTGTCTGTTTAAAATCTCAGCAGTTCGAGTAGGGGAACTCGCATGATTTATTACATACTCTGGTTTGGCAATACCAGTTGCACCTCTGTGGCCTGGAAGGACTATGGATGTTGCTGGATTTAATAGCCCCAGCACTGAGGTTGCCGGTGTCTGGGAACAGAGCTCACGGGGAAGAGGAGGTCTGGCAGCTGCAGGGCAAAGGGCAGCAGAGCTCACAGCCAGCAAGGCCAGGAAAGGTGAGGGGAGCTGCAGAGGTAACAGCTGACGGGGCCCAAGCACCAGTAGAGCTGCCATCTGAGCTCACGGTGCCTGCAGGGCTGCTGCAACTAGGGTGCTGAGGACAGTGGTGCCAGGTAGCTGGGGAGAGGAGCCCAGCAGAGAGACTAGTGCTCACTTGCTCCTCCCTCAACACCCCTCCCCTGACCACTCACCCGGAAAACAACCTTGTCCGGGACCGGTCAGTTCCATAGGGAGCTGGACCAGGGAGGTCCAACCTGTACTGCCTGCTAAGGGTGTAAGGGTGTAGCTATTTAAATGGGTAACTGATAAGCTCGTTACCCAAACGATTACACGTAGCTCGCAGTCTAGCTCCCCGGGAGCAGGCAAGAGCTGGTACTCTCTGGAAGCCAGCTTAAAAGTTGGCTTCTGGTACACGTCGGCTCCCAGAGAGCCAACTGCCAGCCAGTGCTGCTGCCTCTGTATCATGCACTATCTGCCAGGGAGCTGGCTGCTGCCTTGCACTACTGCCTCTGATAAGCTGTCTCCCAGCACACACCAGCTTCCAGGGAGCTGGCTGCTACCCCACGCTGCACGTGCATGTAACCACTGAAATTTTTCAACCGTTAGCCAATTTCCTGCATTTTAACATCCCTGCTGCCTGCATCCGATCATTCCTATGAATAAAGCTGGGTAAATTGAAAGGATTGTGAAATCACTCTGGGCCTGGGAATTACTGATTGTACACAGAGCCCTTCACTTTTGTATTGCCACTTCATAGCCAGCCTACTTTAAGACATGATCCCAAAACCATTTAAGTGCATGAAAAAATTACCATGGGCTTCACTGGGCTTTGGATCAAGCCCTTAGTGAATGAAAGCAGTTGTTGGTTCTAGATGGCTGTTTGTTGGCCTTTGTGAAGTGTTTTTCCAGTGAATTTGGTTGTGCAAAGATTGCTTGCTACACTGGGGGCCTGAATTTGCTGCTTTTTGAGTATATGTAATTTGTGTGATTTTTATTCCTTCTAGATTGAATTACAAAATGACTCTCACACGTGTAAATAAATTGTGAAAACCAGAACAGATAGTGTCCTGTATTAGTAGGATGTAGATTATTATAGCTTCTCTGGGGCCCAGTGTTACAGTCATTGCTTGGGCAAAACTCCCCTGGATTTCAGCTGAGTTTGCCTGGGGAGTTAGGTTTGCAGGGTTGTTCTGTTCTCTATTCACTGCAGTGTTCTGCAGAATCTGAACTCTTTCCATTAGTGCATCAAGTGATGTAACTCACACCTGTTATGTTTTGCTTCTTTTCTGATATGCTCCCTATCGGGAAATGTGTATTGTTTGAATAGCATGTTAAATATAGGCTGCGCCCTGTAATTCCAGAAAGCATTAACAGACACTAAGGTTTTATATGTTTTTGCAAGACCAGTAGAAATATTTCCATATTTTGTAAAATTCCACTTAGAGATTTTAGTACAAATAATGTCTGCAAATGTAGAATTATGGTAGGAGGGAGAGAGTTATGATTAAACTGTAGTGAGCAGAACTACGTTTGAAAAGCTCTGGACCCTGGGTCTGCCATTCACTTACAGTGAAACTTTGTGAAAGTCATTTCACCTCTGTTTCAAATCTCTCCAGTCATATAAAGGCCTCAGTAGTTACCATATACAGGTGTTGTACAGATGTTTGTAAAGCACTTTGGGCTTATTAGATGCAAGGTGCAAAAGAAATGCAAACTTTTACTATTTTGGCATGCCCCAAAAGGTTCAAACCTGCAGGGCAAAGGGCAGCAGAGCTCACAGCCAGCAAGGCCAGGAAAGGTGAGGGGAGCTGCAGAGGTAACAGCTGACGGGGCCCAAGCACCAGTAGAGCTGCCATCTGAGCTCACGGTGCCTGCAGGGCTGCTGCAACTAGGGTGCTGAGGACAGTGGTGCCAGGTAGCTGGGGAGAGGAGCCCAGCAGAGAGACTAGTGCTCACTTGCTCCTCCCTCAACACCCCTCCCCTGACCACTCACCCGGAAAACAACCTTGTCCGGGACCGGTCAGTTCCATAGGGAGCTGGACCAGGGAGGTCCAACCTGTACTGCCTGCTAAGGGTGTAAGGGTGTAGCTATTTAAATGGGTAACTGATAAGCTCGTTACCCAAACGATTACACGTAGCTCGCAGTCTAGCTCCCCGGGAGCAGGCAAGAGCTGGTACTCTCTGGAAGCCAGCTTAAAAGTTGGCTTCTGGTACACGTCGGCTCCCAGAGAGCCAACTGCCAGCCAGTGCTGCTGCCTCTGTATCATGCACTATCTGCCAGGGAGCTGGCTGCTGCCTTGCACTACTGCCTCTGATAAGCTGTCTCCCAGCACACACCAGCTTCCAGGGAGCTGGCTGCTACCCCACGCTGCACGTGCATGTAACCACTGAAATTTTTCAACCGTTAGCCAATTTCCTGCATTTTAACATCCCTGCTGCCTGCATCCGATCATTCCTATGAATAAAGCTGGGTAAATTGAAAGGATTGTGAAATCACTCTGGGCCTGGGAATTACTGATTGTACACAGAGCCCTTCACTTTTGTATTGCCACTTCATAGCCAGCCTACTTTAAGACATGATCCCAAAACCATTTAAGTGCATGAAAAAATTACCATGGGCTTCACTGGGCTTTGGATCAAGCCCTTAGTGAATGAAAGCAGTTGTTGGTTCTAGATGGCTGTTTGTTGGCCTTTGTGAAGTGTTTTTCCAGTGAATTTGGTTGTGCAAAGATTGCTTGCTACACTGGGGGCCTGAATTTGCTGCTTTTTGAGTATATGTAATTTGTGTGATTTTTATTCCTTCTAGATTGAATTACAAAATGACTCTCACACGTGTAAATAAATTGTGAAAACCAGAACAGATAGTGTCCTGTATTAGTAGGATGTAGATTATTATAGCTTCTCTGGGGCCCAGTGTTACAGTCATTGCTTGGGCAAAACTCCCCTGGATTTCAGCTGAGTTTGCCTGGGGAGTTAGGTTTGCAGGGTTGTTCTGTTCTCTATTCACTGCAGTGTTCTGCAGAATCTGAACTCTTTCCATTAGTGCATCAAGTGATGTAACTCACACCTGTTATGTTTTGCTTCTTTTCTGATATGCTCCCTATCGGGAAATGTGTATTGTTTGAATAGCATGTTAAATATAGGCTGCGCCCTGTAATTCCAGAAAGCATTAACAGACACTAAGGTTTTATATGTTTTTGCAAGACCAGTAGAAATATTTCCATATTTTGTAAAATTCCACTTAGAGATTTTAGTACAAATAATGTCTGCAAATGTAGAATTATGGTAGGAGGGAGAGAGTTATGATTAAACTGTAGTGAGCAGAACTACGTTTGAAAAGCTCTGGACCCTGGGTCTGCCATTCACTTACAGTGAAACTTTGTGAAAGTCATTTCACCTCTGTTTCAAATCTCTCCAGTCATATAAAGGCCTCAGTAGTTACCATATACAGGTGTTGTACAGATGTTTGTAAAGCACTTTGGGCTTATTAGATGCAAGGTGCAAAAGAAATGCAAACTTTTACTATTTTGGCATGCCCCAAAAGGTTCAAAAATTGAAGTCGGATCCTCTAAAATCGTTGAGACTGGCTTTAAATTACTGAGATTAAAAAAATGCAGAGTTATTGGACCTATGGGGTTGGAGCCTTTAATAATATTTTCAAGCTTTTATTTGCATCTATGGTGGCTAGAAACTTAACTTTCATTTTTCTTTTAAAAGTGAGATTCTGGGATAGTCACATGTTCAGGAGCTGGGGATTTAAGAAAACCACCCCAAACATCATAGATCTCAGGATAAATGGCCTGAAAATTGTCAATGCAGCAATAGCAATCTGAAAGTGAAACAGAGCGGAAAGCTTGAACACAGTGAAACTAACTACCATGTATTGGATAAACTTAAAATGGGCCGGGGGGGACAAAAGGAGGCAGTGGGTATATAAATATAAAAAGGAAAACTGAGCTGGTATGTGTATTGGTTACCCCAGCTCAAGAAATGCACTTAGTACACAACCATAAAGAAAGTAAACTATATTGTTTATTTTTGTTTTTAAAATCTTTTTTTATAAGGACTTTTTTATTTTGTGTGTGTGTTCTGCCACATTTGACATTTCTCTTAAACTCACAGCCACTTGAATCATGAGATTGCATGAGAACTTCAGTTTTATTAAACAAAACACAGTAATTTTCTAGTAGTTTCAGAAAACTTGAAAATGTGAAATTAGAGCTCCAAAAAAAAACCCGCAAAAGAATTCCTAATTTTTTGTAATTAGTTTTTTTTTTAATTTAAAAGAAAATGTACTAAAAGATAAATGACCTATAGCTCATATATGCCACAGAATACTGCAGGCTTCGTGTCCTATGCAATATAACTATGCAATTTTACAACTCTTAAAGCTGTAAGACCAGCCAATATAAAACCAGACAGTACTACATGGGCATAGCGTATAAGAGTTGAATTTACAATAATAAAATTAGACCTACATGAATAAAGAGAGAAGGGAAGGACCCAGGAGGAGTGAAAAGGTGGAGGAATTATGTGAATGGAGGTCTGACATTCTTGGAGCAGTTTCAACTTTTTTTTATTCAAATGTATCTAGAAACAGGGTCCAAAGTTTCTTCTGAATGCTTTTAATCGATCACTGAGGTGATAAGCTTTTCTTTCTGTAGCTGCTAACTCAGAAAGAAGTTGGTCCAGTAAAAAAAACCCTGACAGATCTGAATACCACTTCTCTTCCTGGGCATAAGCTTACTCTTCCATTTTGTTTAACCAAAAAAAAAAAAATCTCATGTTTTTGGGCCCATGAGACTGGCAATACTTCATATGAAATAACCAGGTGTCATTTTTCTAGCTTCCCCTGCCCTGTGAACATATGCCGTTTGGATTTGCTTGCCACATGTCTATTACCTTTCCAAAATGCTCTTTGGTTTCTGTTGTGCTACATCACATGTATGTGTCTCACTCATCTCTGTGTGTGGAAACCAAGCTAGCTAAAGGCTTATCTCTGTTTAAACACGCTGGCCAGAGGTTTTCTGGCAGTACATGATTATTAATCCTGTTAGAAATGTTTCAGAATTTTTGAAACTTCAATTAATATTTTCGTGAAAAATGTCAGTATTTTTCTAATGATTCTATTCCTTTTGTAATAACTTCTTTGTTTTCCTGTGCCCCAGAGTGGGTCAGGCATGTTCCATCTGACATCATAACATTAGGTCACATGTCACCTTTGTGAGAACTACTGCAGGGAAAAACATGGCGGGGAGCACCATAGATCAGAGCCTTCTCTTGCTGAAGTCAATGACAAAAATTCCTGTTAACTCCCAGGACCCTGTTTCTGCTCGCCATGGATCAGAAACTTGAGGCATTTCTGCCTGATTATTTTTTCCTTGTGGGAGCATAGTTTAGGGTAATCCGCAACCTTGCAGGCTAACAGATCTGCTCTCAACTCAGAGGCTGGACCCTAAGCCATCGTCATGGGCTGACCTCTCCTTAATCCAGCTGCCCCATTTCCCTGTCTGCATGCTGTCCTCAGCTTTCCCCCACCAAGTCTGTGCCTTACCTTCCAGAAAGGAGGATGGAAGATTTGAGGGGGAATTGTTGGTGAACCCACCTGCAGTAGCTAGTGATGCATAACACAAAATGTAGCTGCTCCTGCAACCTTTGGTTGAGCTCAACACACATCATCCAAAAGCCATGAGTTCTCTTTCTTCTGCTTGCTTGGGTTTTTTCTACATCACATAGCATGTGAACTATTGTGCATATACTTTTATATATTGAAAGGTAGACAGTTGCCAATTTCCTTGAATTGCTTTGACCCTGTGGTTACTTATAAGAGGCAAGTTTGCTCTTTCAAATGGGAATGAATCACATTTTCTGTTGTACCTGTCACAGTTGTTACAGGTAATTGCCACTCTGAATGATCACTCTGCTCCTGCACCATACCTCACACCAAGACCCTGCACCCCCACCACACTTTCTGGCAGCCCCTTTCTGCATACTGAGCCCTTGAGGCTGGCAATACTTTCTGACCCCATCCCAGAATCTAGGGTCCCACAAAACTACTAGCCCTGGCCTTCCAGAAAAGTTAATCCACCCCTGGGTAAGCCCGGAGCCTCAGCACAGCCTCCTGCCCCCTGGGGCAAGTGAAATGAGATGTCTTGTCTCCTTTTTTGCTTCTCACTTGTGTGTGGCCCCCACCCAAAAAAGTTTCCCTAGCTCAGGTCTAAACAAACACGAGGGTGGAAGGGTCCCCAGGGTCCCACTGGCCCACACTGTATAGCTTTACATTTATTTTTTGAAATTCTCTATTTCAGATCAGAAGATTCAGTGCCTGTATTTAAGAAAATTGCCTATCGAGAGTATGAAGCAGATTTTCAGAAAGCAAAACCAACAGATACTTTCTCAGGTAAGCAGAAAAAAACTTTTATTTCTGAAGCCAGTGTCTTATATGTGCAGGAAAATGTGCCTGTATGTGTATGCCTGTCATTAGCCACTCTCAGTATATACTACAAGCCAGCAAATATATAGGGAATTTGGGTAGCTCTTCTCTATAGCACAGTAGCCAAAAGCCCAATAGCTTGAAAATATTGGCCTCAATTATCAGTACTGATGAAATCGGAGAGGATTTGGAGAAATGCCCCATGAATGACTGTAGAGGATTAGAAAATGTGCTATCTAGTGGTAGACTAAATTCTGAGTATTTACCTTAATAAAGAAAAAGCTAAGGAGTGACCTGGTTAAATATCTACAAGCGGTACAAATATTTTAATAGTGGGCTCTTCAATCTAGCAGAGAAACGTATTAGACCTCCAATGCTAGAAGACAAATTCTGACTGGAAATAAGGTGTACATTTTTGACAGTGAGGGTAAATAACCATTGGAACAATTTACCAAGGGTCATGGTGGAGTCTCTGTCGCTGACAATTTTTGAATCCGTATTGGATGTTTTTTCTAAAATCTGCTCTGGGAATTATTGTGGGGAAAATCTATGCGCTGTGTTAGGAGATCAGTCTAGATGACAGTGGTTCCTCCTGGCCTTGGAATTTATGGATCAAAAGTGACTAGTAATTGGGATGTTCCCACTTTAGAGTCACTGATTTCAGATGGCTTAAGAGGGACTGATTTACTGAGTGTGGGGGCTCAGCACTTCCTGCAAATCAGGTCCCTTCACAGTATCAAACTGGGCACCTAAAATCACTAGCCATCTTTTGAAGATGTAAGTCATTGACTGTTTGCAGCTTCATGGACTAGGACAGTGGTTCCCAAACTTTTCAGCATCACGCCCCCCCCCTTTCTGATTTTTGAAAAACCCTCATGCCCCTCCCCCCCCCAAAAAAAAACTTGTTGAGCAAAAAAAGGAACTGAGTGGGGCAGCACAAGTTGTTAAGGGAGGGGAAAAAGGAACTGAACAGAGCAGCAAAACTTGATAGGGGGGTCTGGGTCGCCTCATGCCCCCCCCCTGGAATTTCTTCACGCTCCCCCAGGAGGGCACGCCCTCCAGTTTGGGAACCCATGGACTAGGAGATCCACTGACTTCCCTATTCAGTGTTTCAAATACATGGTTGTTATGATCATACTGTTGCACAAGCATGAATGATCCCACAGAAGGGGTGACTCTGCAAGGCCATCTGTGTGATGAGTCTCAGTGGTGCCATTGCTGGCCAGAATACAGATCTACACCCGTTGCAACATTTGCAAAACATATGGGCACCCATATTTGGATGCAGTTTTATGTGTTTCCAGAATTTGAAAAATTGGGAGTTGGTCCTTTCACTTCCACTGTTGTTGGTCTCCCTGGAGAAGTAGAGCTGTGAAAAACAGGCACACTGATCTCACTTCATCCTCAGACTCAGGCTCTGTTGGATGCTGTTTGCCAACCTCTTCCTGGGCTGATGATGGATCAGTGGAAATGGGTGGAGGCTCTTTGCCCAACTGCAGAGGCTTCCTGTTAGTCAAACCCAACATGATGCCATGACCCCTCCTGCGAGGTATCTAGGTTCTGGTGCCGATTAGCAGGCGGGGTGGGTTGTTGTAGGGGTTAGAAGTGGTGTAGCGGGTTGGTGGTATTGTTCCCTTTAACATGGATTTTCAAGCGAACCAGCAGGGGGTCACTGGGATCCGGTTATCATGACCCAGCCTGCAGGGGCTGGTTTGCAATTAGATCCCTACTGGGTTGATGCAGCAGTCATCTCTGGGAACTCCTCTCCCCTTCTCCTTCGGAGTCACTGACTCATTTCCTATTTCTGTCACGCCGCACAAAAGGAAGTGAGTAACTGGCTGGTTGCTCAGGGACCTATCTGGCCACCTGTGATCAAGAGGGGAGGGATACCCACTCTGGAAAGCAATCTGTAACACGGTAAGAAGAACGCAGCAGATCTGGTGGGGCACCCCGTGCTGGCCACCTACTAGACGGCTGAGAGGGGAATTCAAGCTGTGGGTCCCTGAGTGTGTTAAGCCTTTGGGGCTTGAAGACAGTTTAGCCACTGCTCCGATCTGGAAGTCCCTAGAGACACATTCAGGCTTTCTATCTGGCACCTCTTTGAGAGCTGGAACCCACTCTTGAGCTGCCAAGCCCCTGGTCAAAATGGTGACCCTTCACACTCTGCTGTACTTTAACATCCCCGCTGCCTGCACGCCACTCCAAGGTGAAAAGCTTCTGGTTTATGGGTTAACAGGAGCAGGGCCGGCCCGAGCCATTCGTGCACCCCGGGCCCCGGGAGTGCAGCACATGCACGGCCCCAGGCCTGGGCACCCAGCTCATGCGCGGCAGCTCTGCGCCTATAATGGAGCACCCCGGGTGGTAGCCCAGTCAGCCCGTAACTTGGGCCGGCTCTGAACAGGAGGCACATGATAATTGTGATACAGATCACTTTGCACAGCGCCTAACGTAATTACTCTTTCCTTTAATCACATAAAGCACAAGACAATACAGATCACCCCTAGAACAAAACAAAAACAATCCCAAACATAGTGCCCCTCACAAGCTCACTCTTCCCTTGGGTCTGTTTCCTGGAAGGTAGGCAGTCAGGGTTTCCCCTGCTTCATGCAGGCTGGCTTATCTCACATGAAGTTCACTGTCCCCAACCCCCATGACCATGATGGGTATAACTGGCTTTCCCCTAGGACGCAGTCATTCTCTAGCATAACTTTTGTGTGTTCAAAGCATTGTCATTAGCATGACAGTAATTTCGTGATCTAATTTCAGAATATTGTCCAAAATTCATAAATTGTGCAGACAGAACCCCCAGTTCATCACGCAAGGAAACATAAACAGAACTGCATTTCCCTTTAGCCCAATCGCTGCTGGCAGCTGATGCTGATTTTGTGGAGGTGATCTTGGGCATATATCTAGGTACAAGGCTGCCTGATCTTCCTAGGTATTTACTTATCCTGTTACCCTGCACCAAGGTCTGTGCCACTGCATCTTTGTTATTTTTAGCTGCTCTATCCTAGATTTAAGCTAGGATGGGAATGCATTGCCGAGCTGCAATTTCATGTCCCATTGCAGTGGAGACATATCTTGTGTTGTGGAGGCTGTTGCGCTGAGAGGGGAATACAGAGGTCTTATTAAACACTCCCAAAGATTTCTGCCTGCTTTCCTAAAACTATGCTAGTACTGATGAGTCATTTGTAAGGGGTAAAATCCCCTTCCCAGCCTTCAAACTCTCAGTTGACTAAACTTTCCGTAGCCAAGAAATAGCTTTTTCTCTTCATGTGCAGAGTTTTCTTATAATTTTCAGTGTCATTTGCTGAATATATAATTCACGGCTCCATTTAAATGGGGCCACAGCTGTTAAATTCTTGTGTGCCTTTCCACCACCTAGGTATTTCACAGTTAAATCCCAGGTATAGGCTAATCCTCATTGCACTGGCATTGAATTGCCTGTGTCTTTAGTTTGTGCAGCTTGTCCTTCAACAGGAGTTAACATTCTCACTCAGGAGAAGTGACTCTCTCCCTTTACATAAAATGCATAATCTGATACTTATCACCTCTTTTTTTTTAACACTGAATTTCTGCAGGGCTTCTGGGACCAACTCTGCGTGCTGAAGTGGGAGACACTTTAATAGTTCACTTCAAGAACATGGCCAACAAACCGCTGAGCATTCATCCACAAGGCATAGCTTACAGCAAACTGTCAGAAGGTATGTGCTATAAACCACCATCTGTTCTTTTTCTACTCTAGACTATATAATCCTAAAGCCAGTCACCTGAAGAATTGGGCTGTGCCCACGAAAGCTCATGATACCATCTACATGTTTTGTTAGTCTATAAGGTGCTGCAAGACTATTCATTGTGTTTTAAGTTACAATCCAAGGCAGAGAACTCAAAACCAAGTTGAGGGTGTGAGGGAAGAATTCATCCATTGACCTAATTACTACCTCTCAAAGGGGAGTGGGCTAACTATATCCATGGAAATCCCCTAATGGCAATTACAAAGCATTTATGCTTCAGCAGAACAGCTGCTGCACCATAGCTGTGCTGCTGCAGTGCAGAGGTACCCAGAAGAGATCTGGGACAGCAAACAGGCTGTAATGTGGTCCCCAAGAAAATGTGGGCATCGAGACTAAGTGATGCCTATCTAGGGGAATGCCAAGTATAAGACAGACCAGAGGTGTATAGTTCTTATTTTCAATCAGTTTCTCTATGTGGTGTGCACCTGTTGGCAAACAAGTCGTGTTTTGTTTTGAAGAAGCTGCTTCTGTGGCACTGTGGATGGCTGTTGTCCATTGGCTCCCGGTGAGAAACTTTTGCAAGGGCCAGGCCCTTTGGGCCTGCTAAGTATCATAGTTGGCAACCAAGGAGGTGTGAACCAGAGATCAAGCCAGGAAGTGGTTGGATCAGGAGATCTCACCCCAAATCGAAGTGGGGGCACAGCCCAGCTGCTTGAAAGGAATGCACTCGGAAGACTCAAACAGGGTCTGAGAAGGGATGGCCTACCCAGGGACTATGACAAAGGGTACTTAGCATCTCCTAGTAGGGGCTCAGCTGTTTCTTTGAGTGATTGCTCATGTCTGTTCCACATTAGGTGTGCGAGCTTGCCTCATGCACCAGTGCTGGAAGTTTTCCCTCAGCAGTACCCATAGAAGAGTGGCAGTACCCATAGGAGAGGGATGCCCACATGGCGTGGTATGAGGGGCACTGTCTGCTTTTCCCACCCTCAGTTCCTTCTTTTCGCCAGTGATAGTACACTGAATGTTCACTGCCCTAATTAGCATTGCTTAGCCTTTGTTCATAGAATCTTTAGTTCTTGTAAAGGTTCTGAAGATAGTTAATAGAGAGACTTTTTGTTAGTCCTGTCTGGGACCCAGCTGGTGGATGGGGCATGTCCCAAAGATTTATGTACAAAACAGATTTAGTTTGTGCACTAAATGAACTGCACTGCATTGCCCTGCCTCCTCTCACACTGTTTACACCATTATCAGTTTAGACTTGAATAAGGATCTCAGCTGGTTAACAGGGCATCTTCCCCTCTCTGGTTATTCACATACCCACATCAAATGCTGTGAATGAGCCACTTCCATCCTGACTTGATTAGCTTCATTAATACAAGCAACTTCTTTATATATATCCCTGTCTCTGTTACTTCCACTCAAATTCATCAGATGAAGTGGCTTTTTATGTCCCAATAAATCTGTTAACCTGTAAGGTACCACCACTAGACTCCTCATTGTTTTTACAGTGTTTTCAGAAAGGTTGCAAACTCCTTCCCATACAGCAAATGTTTTAAATGTGTGTGTTAAAGAAAAGGTGTTTATATTCTTTCAGTTCCCATACAGCAGTGTGGACAAGTGTTCAAGGCATTTGCCTCCATTGATAATGAGTTATTTTACTGAATATGTATCTAATTTTCACTTTGTGTCATCATTTTCACCAGTGCAAAGTGAATGTAAAACACTTTCACATCAGAATGGTAGCATTTTACACTCCCTGTTCACTGATGCCAACAGCTGCATATGGGGCAGAGCTGTCAGCTTTTGCAAATATTTTATTGCATTAGAGTTGCTGATGTCATAGGTATTTGAAATGTTTTGAATGTCGAAATAGTACTTGGAAAAAATGTTCTCTTTCAGCTTAACTATACAGCGGGTTGGGATTGTTTTCAGATTTTGAAATTTTATTGAAAATTCAATTTGTGTGAATAAATATTTACAAAAATGTCCTTGATGTTCCTTCCCTCCAGCTCTAGTTGATCTTGTTCCTTCCTATTAATCAGCTGGTCAGGAGAGTTTTGAGGTTTACTTTAATGCCTTGTTCAAACTGTGAAACCAATAGTTTTGCTTCCAGCTGAGTGAAAGCAGTGTCAAGCTCTGTGAGAAACTATGACATGTCCCTGAAAATCTCTGATTCTGTTGGATGGTGCAGGTTGTTGTTTCACTAATTTCTCCTCCTGTTTGTAGCTAGAGTTTTAATAACCTCCGCCAAGTATTTGTTAAGTTGAAACTTTTTATTAGGTATAGACAATGCAAACAAATTAAATGCAGTGTTTCCAGATTAATAATGCACAAAAGTTGGAAGGCTACAGTAACTCCTACAGAGCCAGTGTTACAGAAAGAGATGAGACCAGGATCAGCTGGTGAACTGGGCAAGTACCTTCTAGACTTCTGCTGGATTCAGACAAGGAGAGGCTGAGAAGTTCTACCAGGCTCCCCCAGTCTGATACCTGAGTATGACGCTCCTTCCCTTGGGAGTGAGAACAGCCCAGACAACTTGATCCTAATACCTGAAATAAAAGTACTGCTCTTGATTCTGCTCTCAGAGCACCTATGAGGATCAGAAGTAACTCTGTTGACATTCATGGAGTTACACCATTGAAAAGCTAAGCTGCTGTAGGTGAGAGGAGACTCAAGTGCTCTGTGTAGATGGCAATGGTAAAAACAAACAAACAAAACCTGTGCATTCATTCATTAATCCCTCAATGCCACCTCTTTCTCTCCTCTCTCGACTTCTAACTATGCAGGTTATCTGTATGCTGACAGAACATCCTCCTTCGAAAAACTGGATGATGCTGTGCCTCCAGGCCAGGTGTATAAATATACATGGGAAATCACTTCTGAAATTGGGCCAAAAGAAGCTGACCCTTCCTGTCTCACCCGTGTCTATTATTCACATGAAAACATGGTGACGGACTTTAACTCTGGTCTGATTGGAGCATTGCTTGTGTGTAAAAAAGGTAACCAAACTGCTTGGGATAGACCAACTGCTATAAAATGTCAGCTGGGCTACTGTTTTCAGTGGTCTAGCACATTCTGATACAATATGGCTTTCTGGTAATAATAAAAACTAAAAAACCCATAAAGCACTCTGGAGATTCTCATAATGCAAGAAGGCATTTCATTTTCCTCTTCCCTTCTTGTGCGTTTATGCGGGCAGTTTAGAGGAAACTGAGTTTTGTTTCTTCTGCCTTTATAGGACTTCAGCGTTGCTGTGTTTCTGGATTTTCTGTACTAGTTTCTCAGATAATTCTAATTATTGTCAGGGCTAATAAGACATTGTTCAACTTGACTGACATTTCCCATTATGAGACCCTGTCTTCAATTGTTTATAACTTTAACAAGTTTGAATTGTTTGGGAGGGGAGG